GGTGAGAGAAGGAAGACAGGATAAAGACATGCTGTGGAAGAGAGACAGAGGTTAATAACAGATATGATTCAATGCAGAGAGGTCTGTTAATACATAGACACATATGTGTCTGTTTGAGTCACTGTAAGTTCAAAACAACAGGAAAATGTTCAGGATGGGGGTAACATGAAAATAAAATAACAGCTGCACTTTCTGTTTGCCTTAATAATCATATTTATTTAAACATGTTTCACTAGACAGGTAAACACTAATAATTATAGAGGATGGATGGTGCGTATATTACCCTTGTGAAGAGGTTTCTTTTGATTGCAGATCTTACTCTTAGTCTTTCCTTAATAATTTGTGGAGGTTAATTCGCCTCAGTGGAGGACTTAGAATTGCTGTGATGCCATCGCAGAGGAAAGGAGTGAGGAAAAACACCGACTACAGAGTTTTTCTTTTTCCAAACCTGTAATTCTCTGTGTGACCAATAGGCGGCCCGCAAAGCTGTGAATGACGGCAGCATGACTGCAGCAGCATCAGGGGTGGCCTCAGTGGGTCGGGTCCAGCTGAAGCTCAGGAAGACACTCAAGGGTCACCTGGCTAAAATCTATGCCATGCACTGGTCAGCTGACTCCAGGTGAGGATGAAAGGGTGGCACGTTTGTGTGAGAAAAGAGCAGCTCTGTATATGAATACACGTTTCATCCCTTTACTTTTTAAAAACCTCTATTTAATGCTTAAAAAACGTAATATGTAAATATAACATCGCCTGTTTGACAGTTTGAAGAAAACACTTGTGATATTACAGAAATACTGAAATTACCTGATTTATTTGTTTCACTCAGCGTGTTTGTGCTGTGATGAAAATGAATGTGTGTGTTGAAGATTATAAACTGCTGATTTTTATCCATATTAATGTGTGTGTGTGTAATATGTTTGTGACTTTGACATCAAAATTTGCAGGATGCAAACATTAGTTGTGATAACAGCCAAACTATTTCGCATGTGAACAAACTTTAGATGCAGAAACGAGATGAACTCCAGCATACATTCAATCCATGTGAATTTAAAATGCACAATAGTTCCTGCTACACGACATGTCTTTTCTAACAGCCACAGAAATATTCATCATTAGTGAGACATTATCTCACTGAGATGTTTTTTTAAATCTTTAAATTAATGAAGATTGAAGTCCTCTTCAAACACAGTGACACTTCCTTTCTCTCACAGGCAGATGGTCAGTGCATCACAGGATGGAAAGCTGCTCATCTGGGACTGTTTCACAGGGAACAAGGTAGGACTGCATGGGATATGTCACAGTTAATCTGAATGTGCAGATTTGTGGAGTGCAATACATAATAGACCAAGTAAAACTGAACCATACACAACCTGCAAAATAAGACAAAAACTGCATATTTACTCTATGAAACAATCAGTCATCAACTGCTAATTTCATTTAGTAAGTTGGTCGTTTTTAGTTCATGTTCTTTTAGATATATCAACAATGACTAATGTTCAGTCTGAGCTTGGAGCTCAGTATTTATTTAGTACATCCCAACATAATTAGATTAACCAGTGAGCAGATTTCAGCAGTGAGCTAATTAGCCAGTGACGGTTTAACTTTCTACTCTGACTAAAGCTGAGTTTCCTCTGCAGGATCTTCCCCAATGGATGAGCAAGCTTCGCAGTTTAAATTCATTTCTGAGCACCCTTTAAAGCAGCGGTCTCCAACCTTTTTTGCGCCACGGACCGGTTTATGCCCGACAATATTTTCA